GTGCGGGCGCAGCCTCGACTGCTGCCACGACTACCCGCGGGCCTGCCCAGGTGAGCCGGGCTTCCCGGGGCCACCCTGGTCCTGGCACCTGCCCCCCTGCCCCGTCCGCTGCGCCCGCAGCCAGGACCGCTTGGCTAGTCCGTGACACGAGAGCACGTCGTGGGCTCCTGGCCGTGAGCCGCCCTGCCACGCGTCGGTGTTGTCTGTGTCACGCGCGTGGATGTGCTGGTCTAAGGGCGCCCTTTCTGTGTGAGGCCCGCGCTGGGCGGGGAAGGACCATAGCCAAAGCGGGTGTCTCAGTGCGCTGACTTGTTCTCCCCAGTCTCCTCTGCCGTGTCACACAAGTAGGGGTAGCACCCAGGCAGCGGTGTGATGCTTTGGGGGTTTTTTTGTTAAAAACCTGTGAGTTTCCACTGCCAGCTCAGGTTCAAGTGTGTGCAGGGCACACGGTGCTGCTCCCCAGAGGTGTGTCCTTTAATCACCAACATATACGGGCACATCGCAAGTATTAGAATCCTGTGAAGTACAATCTCCAGGTTCCAGGGAGAGAAAATGAGGCACCGAGTTAAGTGAGTCACGTAAGTTTACACAGAGATGCAGAAAAGCACCTGGTGACCAGCCCTGAACTTAAACCGCAGGCTTAGCTCTCCTCTGATTCATGAATTCCTCCTCTGTGATCTCTGCAGGGCTAAACCCAGGTAGCTCCACTAAGCTGCAGTCCCCAGATGTTGTTAGTCGTGTGGTCCAGCGTGGGGTTTGAGTTCTTGGGCGGCTCTGCGTTTCATGTGCATGTATTGTAGGGCAGTGGTTCTCAACCTTTTTTGTACCAGGACCCATTTGTAAACATCGATGGCCAGTCCCGACCCAGTGCCCCTCACTCCCAGCCCACTGCCCTCCGCCCCCAGCGTGTGGGGCACGGGGGTCCCCAGGCAGCCTTTTGGAGGCTGGAACTCAGCCCTCCTGCAAGGGAAAAGCTGGTTTCCCATGCTTTTCTCCTTTAAAGGAGAATCCATTTTTAAACTTTGATCCATTTTTTAAAAATTTGATCACAACCCTTTCATCTATTCTTGCAACCCACTTTTGGGTCACAACCCACGGGTTGAGAAACACCGGTGTAGGGCATCCATGGAGTGGGAGCAGTCGGAGTTCATTGCATTAGGACAAAGTGCAGATGTTCAATCAGGGAGGGAACTTTTTCCTATAGGTGCAGTCACCTGCCTGTTTCTGATCAGAGATACCCTCGAAAGGTCAGGTGCACGCAGATCGTATGTTAAGCAATCTGCTCTCCAACTCTGTACTTTCTTCAGCTTGGCTCTGCTCTAGCACAGTTTTGCGTTACTCCGACAGGTCTGTAATGATTGTTGTGGGGGAATACAATTTTGTGAAGGAGACATCCCTGTGGGGAATGACTTTAATAATTTTAAACATCATTTAGTGCTAGCGAAAGAGGTCAGGTTGGCAGTTCTGGAGAATGGTAGGGAGTGTTTGAAATGCAGATGCACCGTGACTCCCAGAGATCATGCCCTAGGGCAGCACTGGCACTGTTAGCTGCTGTAGTTGTTTCATGGGCATGTAACTAAGCTTCATTTCGGTATCTGTAGGGGATGTGCCTTGTCATGGGTGTATATTTACTGTAGGTGGCATCCCAGATGCCTGGGGCATGAGTGTATGAGCAACCGCCTTGAAAGGAAACCACTTTCCTCAGTGAATGCTGACAGCACTTGACTCACTGGCAAGAACAGCTATTTTAGGGATTTATAAAGCATGTTTGGAAAATAGCTCCTGTTTTCATTGTCATACATTTGAGGAGGAGCTGCCAGCCATGAGTAATGCTGATGTGCAGGGTTATAGGAGTCACAGGGTTATAGGCGTAACAGGAGTTACTTTTCATTACACCAGCTGCAGAAACTTCCTCAGCCTGATGAAGGGTTTTAAACTCGAAAGCTTGCTTAATTTTTTTTCCCAACTATTTACGCTGGTCTCATAAAAGATATCAGATTCACCCAAAGAACTCTGTCTGCCACAGCTCCAAGAGGTCACTTTGCAGCACTTGCACAGGGTGCAGGGGTCAAACAGCTTCTAATAGCCCAACTGTCCTAGCCACTCAACAAATGAAATGGTCTTAGGCTTATGGCTCCTCAGGGAAGGAGCAGTCTTTGTGAATCAGGAGAAGGTACCCAAATCACTTGGTTTATCTCAGTACTGATCCAGGATGGGAAGCACCCAACAGGATGTCTGATCAGGACACTGGATAAGCCTCTAATAGGATACCTGAGCGTTAGAGCCTTATAAGGTCTGAGCTCCAGAATGCTAGAGTGTAGGCGACCACAGTGTAGGCAAACATCTAGTCATTACCTGCCCTGAAACATTCAATATCTAAATTTGAACAAAGACACACAACAAGAATAGCACCATAAATTAAATGGGGGAGGGGACACTATCCTAAGACCTGTTTCCTGCTGATAACAGATCCAGGTGTCTAATTCCCCCATCATGTGTGACACTTTCTTCTAAGAAAGATTTCTTTCCTGTACTTTGCGATAGCGTTGGCAAAACAAAACAAAAAAAATAAGCAGGTTCCTCCTTTCCTGTTTTCATTGGATAGAAAAAAAATCCTGAAACTTTAGAATTTTTCTTCCTTTAGGAATATCAAATCATATTTTTCCATGTAACCCTGTTTGGAAAAGTAAGGACCTGAAATGGAAGATTTCCCAGTCCTTAATGGAGAGGGCTGTGGGGAAAGGAGTCTCTGAGTCTTGGAAATAGAGAACTTTCCTTCAAACTCTTTGTTGAGCATTTAAAGTAGATATTAGCAAAACCATAATTTGCCTACTGTCTTCTTTCTTAGTCAGTGATGCTTCAGTTGACTGATTTCATATAAGAAGCAAGGATTATTGTGAGTGATCTCTCTTATTGGACCAACTGCATTTCATGTATATATTAAAAACAATCCCAAAACATATGGTATTATTTTGTTGTCCAGGAATTGACTATATAACTGAATTATTACCATAACTGTCCCTCCCTGCCACCTTTTGTTTGTCAGACTCATTTGTTGCCTCATTTCAGATTAAACTGTGAACTTTTAGGGACTGAGCATGGAGTCTTCCAAAATATTTATGCAGCATTTTTTTTTCAGTGGACTCATACCAGATCAAGGCCTTTGGAGGCTAATGCAGTGGTGTTAGGCTACATTGCTACTCTTCAGTTGTTCCAGGAAAGGCAGAGTAGATAAGAGCTAATTTTTATGCATACAACTAGTAGGAACAGCAATGTTATGAGCCTTCATGATGCATCATAAAGAAACAAAATTGTGTTTGCCTTTTTTTGTCTCAAGTTTAGGTCACATATACCAAAATCTGCAGCAAACCCCTTCTAGGCACGCGTTCTGGTGCAGGTTTATGCATCCCAATAATATTCTGAAACAGTGCCATCGTGTGGCATTGTAAAAACATTGCAATGTGCTACCCACCGAGGTGTGTCCAGAAATACCTTGGTGTTTTCTGCGTACTAAAATATTTGCTCAGAATTATTTATTGTAGCTAGTCTGTGTTGGATGTCAGGAATCCACACACACTATGTTGAATATTTGTAGACTGTTCCCTTCCTCCTCCCCCACAATTTTTTTCTACTACAAAGCTACTTTGTCACAGCAGTTGTAAAACAAATATTAAACTGTGATATTAATTTGTGAAGCCAAATTTAAGTAGTAAGAGAAGAAGATTCCAGAGATGAGGTTCTTTAGAAAATTACTGCTGGGCGGTATATACTGTACTCCAGTACTTGGGCTTTATTCATACACATTTCTGCAGATAAATGTAGCTCAATTATTTATGTCACCTACTCTAATCATTAATCTCTTAATTAGGTTTACAAAAGTGAATGTTTCAGATTGTTTAAATACAGCGTTTCAAGGTAAAAGTGAAAAAAATGCTTCAGGGTATTTGAGAAACTCCTTAAACATTCTGAAGACAGTAAAACCAGAAGTTTCAAATGAAGGTAATTCAATAATTAAGGATTATCTGTGCTTCACTGGAGAGGAAACTGAGGCATGATGATGACACTGAAACTGTTTCAGGGCTGCTCAACAAGTACTCAGTGTTATTAGGCACGAAGCACCCTGAACGATGCATTCATTTGAATAAGAACAGAGACATTTGCTATTTCTCAGGATCAAGCTCACATTAAAGGCACAGCTGTGCCTAGGACTCAAGAATTCTTAGTATGTGAGCCTAGGATTTGATGGTGAATTCTGCCGTCCTTGCTCATGGGAAGTACAGTAGTACTTTTTGCCATAAGGAAACTCAATTACTGCATAGTTAGGTGAAACAGATAAGCAGACAGTAGGAGTGAAGCTTCTTGGGACTGTCTGGAAAGCATTTCTAGATTTTCACCAATAGAGAGAAGCAGCTGGTGTGAAAAGACCCATAACTGAGGATCTGTCAATAGAGCACATGCAGTTGAGGGCCCTGTACAACTTTTTGCTATACATAGACAAATGTACAAAGTTGGCCAGGTAAAATAAAAGGCAAGGATCCACTCACAGCCAAATACAACGGGATGAAGGGATGTATCAGGGACTGGGTGGAAATCATGGGCAACTGGGGGCGGGCACCAGCAGGTCATGACTGGGGGGTCCCAGCAGCCAGCCAGCAACAAGGGGTCTAGTCTTCCAGCAGCCAACCAGTGACCCCAGCACAGCGGTGGTGGAAGTGCTGGCACTTCCGCTGCCAGCAGAGCCAATTTCAGGGGGGGCACCAGCGCTCTTGGGGGTGGGGTGGGGAGGGGGCATGTGCCCCTCCTATGTGTCACCTATGGTGGAAATTATACTTGTAACTGCATTGATTTGTGCCTTCAGGATCTAAGTTCACATCAGAAGTAGCTTTGGAGCATTAGACTGGGCATATTTGGTTGCATGATCCCAGTTAGTTGCTGATGTTGCTGTTTTCCTATGTAATGGCTCAGTCCTGGAAGTGCTCAGAGCCCAAGTGACTCTGAGGTTCTTTGTGCCTTGCTGAACCATCTTGAATAGACACTGGTGTATCTTATTTATTTTTCTGTGGCTGCAGCAGAAAAAATGATGTTCTGAAGTTTGGGAGTTGTTCTTCAGGCCAAAGCCCCATGCAGTGGGATGGTTGCTAGGTCATGATATGGTGTGTTTCTACTCTAGCTCCCTCTTCCATGGCAGAGCCTTCTCTGAGGAATAAAATAAATGATATGCATGTATTTCACAGGAGCCACCAAGATAAGTGGCAGTAACTTGCCTTCCTGCTGCTGCGCTCAGCAGAGAGGACAAGACTGAATGGAAGGGGTGACTGAAGGTGATTTCAGATGACAAGGGCTGAAAAGATTAACAGTGGGCAAGCAGAGCAAAAGGGAGAGTGCACTAACCCAGCAGTTTCCAACCCATTTGATGGGCACGGTTTTATGAGTCCTGTCCATTGTGCCTACCTCTCTTCCCACTACTTGGGATGACAACTGCTTTATTTTGTGGTTCCCCAGGATAATTGCTGTCCTTCAGTACCATAGATCCAGTGCCGCAGGCATGCATTCCAGTTCAAACTCGACATAGTGCCTGACTGAAAGTGCCCCAAAATGGGGAGGAGGCACCCAGAAGATGAAACTCATGGTGATACTGCCTAAATATTAGTAGTAAGAATAACAGAGGTAGGAAGGATGTAAATGCGCATGTAATAAACCCAATCATCACACTCTTTTTCAATGTTATTGTGACACTGGAGTTGTCAGAACAGGGCTCACTGAGTCCATGATATCATTCCAGAGACAGATTTTATATTTTTTTCTACATTGTTGCTTTGGTGACTGAGAAGATGAGGAGTTTTCTTTACTCACAGTAGTGTGTTTGGATTTTGAACATGTGCCCCAACTCGCTGGCTTTTTTTTTTTAAATGCTTTGTACAGGTGGATTGGCTATAAAGTAGTAGATATAACCACTAACGTATCAAGGGAGAGCTCAGGGAATAACTGGAGTAGGGAACTCTCTGAGCAGAGTGTAATCTCCTGAAAATTACTTAAATAAGTATTTATAATTAGAATTAGATGTGCTGTCTGGAGGAAGTAGTGCTGCATTTTATCACTGTAACCCATGCTGTGGTTTCTTGCTCTCCCGGCCAGTGACCCCCTGCACCGTATCTGAATGGAGCGACTGGAGTGGCTGTGCAGAGCCCTGCAAGGCAACATATCGAGTCCGGAGAAGGCATGTCGTTCGGGAGCAGAGGAATGGAGGCGAGGCATGTCCTCCTCTGGAGGAGAAGGCTGGCTGTGTGGAGTACTGGACCCAGCAAGGAGTGGAGTGCAATCATGCCCTTCGTAAGCACACTGAAAGTGCTGGGTTTGGGCCTGAGCCCAAATGGCTTAGACCCTGGGGTTTGGCCTCCTATCTTTCTCCCCAGAGCTAGCTGGAGTGGAATAATTTGCTCTGGATTTACACTGGTTTTACTGAGAACTGAACTGACCCCTTTATACTGAACTCACTGGATTCTCATTGGGATATATTTTTAAATACTGCCTGTCCCTTGCAGTATTTGATAGGTTTCAAAAGTGAAGTTTGGGGTCCTGGCTCTGGTTTCACTTCTGTGAGCATAAATCTCCAGTAATTCTGGTGCAGTCAGTAAAGTCAGTGTGAAACCCATGGACGTGGGAGGAAAGTGTGGCCTGAGGTGTCACATAGCATCGCTCATGAGTCCTCTGTAAACATCATGAAGGAAGGGCACCCACCAAAGACAAGGTCTCACTTTTCCCCTGCTCAGAGTTTCCTTCTGTTTCCAGCCAGCATGCCAGATTCTGCTATAAAGCTGGAATTAAGGCATGACCTGAACTTGCCTGTATCAACTTTTCCAATGAGTTTAAGAGCTCTTTGGGGTCAGAATCTGGCTTTGGCTTCTATACTAATCTATTTATTTTAAATTGGCTTTTTCAAGCCTGTTGGGAGATGGTATTAGATGAATGAGGGTTTTTTTTTTCTTCTCCTTTGGTTGCTGCTCTGATAAACAGTTTTACTCCAATAGGGAAAAAAAAGAAGAAGAATGAATGTCTCTTTCTAATGCTAGATTGCCACTGAAGATCCAAAAATGCAAGGCCGGAATTATCTTTGATTTCCTGCCAAAGTGGAAATTGTGTGACATTAAAGGCCATAAAATCCCCAGTCTTTATTGTTATGCAAGCATAAGTGGCCTTAGTGCACTATTATCACTTGCTCATGTATATTGCTTTTCTTTGATGTTCACAGTCCCAGCATTAATAACCACAGGAGGTTACGGGAAAGCACGAAGGAAGAGAGCTGCATCCAGTGAAAATGAAAGAGCAGGGTAAGTAGAAGGCTGGGCTTTGCAGCATAATGGCACCTTATTCATGGCTTCAATGGGTATAACATGTAGGCCAGGCTCTGTCCTGGACAGAACATCTATTTTGTTTGACAGCCTGAAGACTTTTAAAGCTGGATTCCAACAAAACAGCATCTCCATGTGATAGAGGCTTGATCTTCCACTCAGCGACAGCACGATACGTTCAAAGCAATGTCACTGAAGTTACTGGGAGAGAGAGCTGATGCTGTCTAGGACGCTATACACAGAGAGCAGTTGTTTCAGGTTCTTTTCTGTATCTGGTTCTCTCTGGGAAGTCTATACCACATCACCGTACTACAGACTTTTGGGGGTAAGAGGCTCCCACAAACATGATGCCCACTCGCACATCTGTGTTAAAGGTGCAGGCAATGGTTGGCTTTGTTTTATGCAATCTGGGTTGGGGTCTAGCAAGTTGCTGTTTTGGGTGCCAGCTGGGCAGGACCTAGGCTTCCCTGCAGCGTGGGAAGCAAGTTATTGCACCAACAGGCTTGACTGCTTCAAGCACTTGTGAGAGATTCATCCAATACATTTGGCCATCTTGGGCTCCACCTGCATGTTTCCCTCATTGGCATCATTACACATTGCAGGTACTGGGAAGCATCAGAGCTCTGCAGAAAGCTCTCCTTTGCATGTAAAATTCCATGAGAGAGAGACACATGCTGATCAATCATCAGACTGGGGTGCCCATCAGGGCCATAGGTGTGGCAAAAGTACCTCCGTTATGCTCAGTTTAAAGGGATAAAGTCAGCAGGGGAGCTAACATCAGCTTTGCCATTCTGCTTCTTGCTCCAACAGAGGCTGCTGTTGGCAGTAATGTAGCAGGTTGCTGAGGGGAATGACACAATGCTTTCCTAGACCCTGTCCTACTCAGTTTTGCAGGCTGGTGATTCTCTGTAGATCCTAATTCAAACTCATATACATAGAGTTTTTTGGCACCTGTCATTTTTGTAAATGCCCCAGAGAGGTTATAAATGCTCCCCTTTCATTGTGAAGTGGCTTGCTGGTTTTCTGCTCGGACTCCTGCGCACACATTTCCACAATGTGTGTGTATTCATCAGCTTTGTTTAAGCTTCTGCTCATGCTGGACCCCTACTGACCCCTCAGTTGTGAAGAGGACCTCTCTAGTCTTCTTCAACATTTGCATGCCACCCCTTGGGTGAACTGATGGCACTCCACCGCCAACAAGATGCAGACAGCTCTACCAGAAAAATCATACTCCCAAGGTAGCCCAATGCTTGGACATTAGATGTGAATGAAGAACAGCTGTCTGTAGCCACACTGGAGTAGGACAGGGGTGATGCTAGAGGACAAAGGAAAGCATTGTGAAGGGTGTGAAGTTGTGGTGCAGCCTCCTTTAGCTGATGGCACGCTCCCTGAATTGGTGTCTTTCGCATGTATGGTAGTTCTCTTCCATTCCTTTCTGACACTGAGCGGCGCATAGCAGCATTCATGGAAGTACTTTCTATCCATCCCATCTTGATGGCTGGTGGACCTGACTTCCGTTATCCGTGCCCTTGTCACATCTTGGCTGACTACAGCTATGTGATATAACTGCTTGGGAAGGCTCTAGCACAGAGGAAGCTAAAGAATACAGAATGGTACAGTGCATCTTCTCAGAAATACAGGCCACCATAAGCATGTCAGACCTGTCCTTTACCCTCTGCAGTGGCTTCTGATAGAATTTCATCCCATTCTCATTTTCAGGGCACTCGGTGGTCTGAGCCCAGGCCACCTAAAGTACTGAGGTGAAGAACTGCAGCAGAGTGCAACTCCCATAACCAGAAGTTTATAACGGATCTCAAGAGGCCTTTAATTTAACCATATTCCTAAGCTTTCCCAGACAAATGCCTACCGACCTCTTCTTGAAACCTCTAATGGAGGAGACTGCGATTCTGTAAAAATGGATATAGCTTGTCTTTGTGGAAGACTTTTTTGGGGGGCAGTATGAGATTGCAGAATGAGCTTCCGCAAGAGTTAAGGGATAAACCTACCTGTCTTCTGTATCCAGGGTGCATTTCTTTGATTTTTAACTTCACTTCATAAATATCTAGGAACATATGCATATAGCAACCTTCTCCCCTCCCAAGAAGCTATATTGTGCATGTTTTTATCCCTCTGAGAAAAGCATGTGGAAACAAACAACACTTGATACATGTCAGTCATGTTGCTTAATGTATTAGTGGAAGGTACTCAAGACACTGTAGTGATGAACAAGTTACATGAATCCAGCTCTTTATTGCCTCTACGGTTTTCCAGACTCCAAAATAGCGAGACTGGTTTTCTTAACTGAGATTTGGTTAAAAACAGGAACATAGCCCGATCTGAGCATGGCACAAGTATAGTGCTAATTTTCTCAGTGGTAATCTCATAATTTTTCCCAAGAACCAGGCAGCTTAATCCCAGTTCCTAGCAGGAACAATACTGTCGGAAAGCGTCCAATAACTAAGTCTTAGTTACTGTTGCAAATTACTGTAAGACTTAGTGTCTGATGAAGTATTGAAACTAAATACTGGGGCAGACTCGTCCAGTAACTAGGGCCCCACACTGGGTTCTGTTCCTGGAACCGCCACTTACTTGATCTCGGGCATTGGCCAAGGACTTAATCTCTCCCTGCCTCAGTTGCAGTGATAGCTTTTGCTTTGATGTGCAAACACCTAAATTAGATCTGAGCGTTACTGCTCATTTCAGTTTGTCAGAATGGACTCATACAGGAGCTGTGTGTCTGTGTTAATTTACCTGCATTCACCACATCTGCTCTAGCTCTCTCAGTGGCTCTCAGATCTGTAACACAGTTGTTGGTCTAACCGGGGCTCTCGTTTTTGCTGTAGGTATTGCGTTGAATTCCAGCTTGCAGCCATCACCGAAGGTTGTTTGCATGGGAACAGTTCCTACACTCGGTGGATGCGGTATCTCAGTGAAGGACACATAGCGTGTGTGGAGTGCCAGCACCCGGCCTTACATTCCAGGAGTCTGCACTGCTATGGTGACGGCAGTGGAAGCAAAAAGTAAGAGTTTTGAATTCTGCCTTGTTCTTTGCAGGTACCACACATGGATCTTTGCATTTCCCCACCTTGATCTGGTTGGAGAGACTTGTTTCAGTTTTGTCATCCACTGCACTTGTCAGCACTTTACATCTTCTGAGCCCTGTTTGAACGTTAACTCAACCTCTCTGCTCACTGTGGTTTAGATCAGTAATGATCGCTCTTAGAATGAGATCTGAAATTAATTGTCCTGGCCGTGCTCACCTGATAAATCAGTGGCAGAGCCAGGTCTAGTATTTTTGCAAGGGATCTGTTTACTCCGTGTCCTTCATACTGCCAGGGCTTCTGCTGTGGAGTATGCTTTGTCCACTGGATCCTGCTTGCATGAGCCAGACCTGTAAATGTGAGAGTGAAACTACTCTGGGGCATCCTTCCATGGGTGCTTACAGCTAGGCTGGAGAGCAGGGTCTCAAGAGTAGTTATGGAGAGAGCCTTGGAGCCGCTTCCCACGATACTCCTGTGTTTGGTGGGTGGGCAGGGCATGATCGAAAGCAGTGCTGGGGGTGTGGTGCAGACGTACCCTACTTCTCACTGCCTCGAATTTGAGTCTTACAGGCTGCTATTTGACTAAGGTTAAGCATCCTCCTAGAGGGCAAGTAAAGCTGAATCCATTTGCAGGTTGTTGCCAATCTGAAGAACAAGTGTATGTTATTGAGTGTTTCTCATTCAGAGACCTGCACTATGTTTCCTAAAGTGACTCTGAAAGTATGCTCCTCCCTAACCCTAACTGCTAGTCGGGTAAATCTTGGCATTGGGAATGGGTAGCCAACGCAAGTGGAAAAGTGCCCTTTTAAACTTAGAGCACCTTTCACCCAGGACTCTCAAGTTGTTCTTGGTAGGTTGTGGTGCCTGTAGAGGAACCTGGAGGCTGCTCCGATGTGCGGTAATTACAGCATGTTGGAGCAGACTCAATTAACTAAGTCTGCTGGAGCATGGTAATGACTGTGCTCCAGCCAGCCTCCGTGTCTTGTGTTTCAGCATCCCTGCACTTCAAAATGGCAGCAGGGACACTTTTATCTAAATCTCGTTGAAGCTTTAGATAAAGTGCCCATGCCACCATTTTGAAGCACGAGGACGTTGATCCGTGAGATGCTCCGGAAGCTTTAATTAGAGCGGCTCTTGGAGCTGCTCTAATTAAAGTGTCCCCTTGCTCCCGGAGCATGTGTAAAAATGTCCAAGGTGAGCATTACCTGTGAGCTACAGGTGGACAAACTCAGGCAAAGAGAGGGGAAATGACTTGTTACTCAGCAACAGAACCCAGGAATTCTGACTCCGAGTCTCCTGCTGTAGCCACTAGGTAACACTGCCTTTTTATCGCAATTCCCCTTCAGAATCACGTTTCTGTATCACATGTAATTCTAGTTTGTTTTTAATTTAATAAAAGCACTCTAGAATTTCAGGGCTGGACTGCTCTGGAAATGTCTGTGTGGCAATACACTGGGGTATGTTAGAGTTTGAGATAAATAGGTCTGTTTTGAAATACTTGCCATAAACTAGGATTATTAGGCCTTAAGCATGCTATATATTAAACAAGAATTTCTGCCGGTAATAGCCTTTTTTAGGAAGGACCTGTCCAAAGCTTTTAACATGGAAAAAGTTATATTAGATGCTTTTCTTTCTGCCTCACCCCTGCTTTTTAAGTGTAAATATCACATAGATCTTTAGATAAAGAGCAATAAACCCAACTGGTGCTGTCAGGAGAGGCTTTAAACTGCAGTAAAAATGTAAATGAATGTCAAGGCTGGAAATAATATTATTTTGTCAGAAATCCTGGAGCCAGATAAGAACATCTGACTAGGTAAAAGCAAAAGAGAAAAAAGACCGAAGCCAGCAAACACTTTAGAGTACTGAGTAGGAAAAGTGAGGTTATACAGCAGGGGCGGGCAAAATATGGCCCGCAGACTGGATCTGGCCCACCAGGCAATTTCTTTGGGCCCATGGGCGCCCATCAACTAAATGTATCCTGCCCAGCCCATGCACCTCACTCCCACCCTTCTGGGTGGAAGGGCCTGGCACAGCCAGCGCGCAGCTTCTGGGAGAGGCTGCTGCTGCCACTGGGGAACCTGCTCCGCTTCCCTGGCGTCCCACTTGCTACAGGCACAAGGTAAGGAAGTGATGGGAGCAGGGGTGGAGCTGCAGCTGAGCGGGAGCGTGGGGCTGGCAGCAGCATGGAGCCCATGCCCAGGGGAGTGGTGGGAGTGCAGAGCTTGGGTGGGCAGGGTGGGGATGTGAGGGAGGGTGGGAGGTGTGGATTTTGTGGTGTGGGATTAAAGCAGGTAAACTGAAACCCTTGAGTGACTAGAGCAGAGGTGGGCAATTATTTTGGCCGGTGGGCCGCTTAATGAGTTTTGGTGAGCTGTCGAGGGCCACAAGGGTAGCCCTTGACAGCCCTACCCCCTGGGCACCACCTTGGAACTGGAAGTCCTACCCCTAACCCCTGATCTTTGCTACCAGAAGTTCCTCCCCTTGCGCTCCCCCCTCCTGAAAGTACCCCGGTGGGGTTCCCCTCCACTTCTGGCGGAGTCCTGGGACCTGCACAGCACGGGGCAGCGAAGGCACCCAGCTCCATCGTGCAGGGCTTCCCCCATTGTCACAAGTGCCAGGAGCTGCACGTGCACCACGGGGAGCCCCACACAATAGAGGCAGGCCAGTCTGACTGCGCTTCTTGCCACCATGTGCAGTGCTGGCCGGAGCTATGCACCACAGGGCAGCAGCGCCTGCGCAGGCCATGGGCACCTCAAGCGCCCACTGCATGCTGCTGCTGCTGGTGGGGGCTGTGCGACTTGGGGGTGAGTATGTGGAGGGGTCCCCACACCCCCCCACCCTCCCTCACACCCACACGCTGCCCACCTGAGCTTCATGCTCCTGTCTCACCCCGGGTACAGGCTCCATGCTGCTGCCAGCCCCAGCCCCATGCTCTGTGCTCCCGCCCAGCTGCAGCTGCCCCTCGCCTTCACTCTTCTCCCCCTCCCTCTGCTTCCCTATCTGGTGCCTGGAGCAAGCGGGATGCTGGGGGAGCCAACCAGGTCCCCCAGCGGCTGCAGCAATGGCAGCAGCAGCCCTGCCTGGAAGCTGCATGCTGGCTGGGCTGGGCCCTTCTGCCCACAAGGGTGGGAGTGAGGTGCGCGGGCTGGGCAGGGTACAATTAGCTGGTGGGAACCTGCAGGCGGGATGAAATTGCCTGGCGGGCTGGATGCAGTCCGCGGGCCTTATTCAGTCTGCCCCTGGATTAGAGCAACCACTTTATTCCTACTCATTGCCTTTCTTTGCTGCCCACTGCCTCAGTGTTTTCATTTTCAGTTACAATCCTCCCTGCTGCTCTTATTCTGGCTTTTGAAAGCTAAGAGTTTTCAACAGGTTTTTGAAGGAGATCAGACTTAAGAGGAAGAGATTTGGGGCGGTTGATTTTTTTTCTTTTTGCTTTGTTCACTTCAGTTTGAACTGTGCCCATCTCTTTTTGAGAAACAGCGGGGCATGAATCTCTGCAATATAGTGAGAGGTATTTTGTGATTTACACCGGATTACAGCTAGCTCTCTATTAAGCCACCAAGAAGTGTTCTGCAAGTTGTGGGGCTGGTTTTTATTGATTGCTCTAATTTCTGTCCTCCGTGCAGTCCGAGCATGTTGTTGAGGGAGCTGAGCAACGTTTGGAGCGTCTGTCATGACCATGTCTTGTGTACTGCTTTGCTGCATGACGCACTCTTTTCATTTCCAAACATAGGCTTTTCAGGACTGGCCAAATGGGTTGGAGGAAAGAAAAGCATGGAGAGCTGCTGTCTGTGCCCTAGAGAAGGTTGGGAGACAGATGCAGGTTAGGGAGCATTCACCCTCTGAAAGACTTATGTTGGGGTATGAACAATCAATCAAATTTAAAATGTGTTAACAGGGCTCAGTTTCTTCCTGTGAACAGCTGTTCCATGTCATGATTCATCTGCCTGCAATTACCCTGTGGTAAATGAAAGCTAAACCAGGGCAACTTTTGCCTTTTTTGGTCAGGGCTAAGCTGCTCCAGTTTAGCTTTCACTTACCACAGGGTAATTGCAGCCAGATGGGCAGATCTGAGTGTCAGCTGCTCTGTGGTGATTCCTTGCTGCTTGCTCCCTTCCATCTTCCTATAATTTGATCATTTTTCCATACCCGTATAACAGCAGTTGCAAACTAGGGGGTATGACCCCCAGTGGGCCCGTGGCAGTTCTGAGTGGATTTGTGAGCTCCCGAGCCCTTACTTCCCCAGTGTACTTGGAAATGCAGCATCCCAACCTGGCTGTTCTGTGTTAATTGTCTGTGTCCACTCTCGTCTGATGGTGGAAATTGGGGCAGGTCACTCCTGAATGAAAAGGGGCCCAATTGCCCCAATTGTTTTGGCTGGGAGCACACACATGAACAGTTACCAAAAAGTAGCTGAGGTGCAGAAGATCCTGCCCCTGCTGACTGCAAGCACACAAACTGCCTGTGTGCCTGTGCTTATCCCAGGGTAGGCAAAAACTAAACTGAAGTAATTTAGCCCTGTTTTATTCGGTGGCAAACTGCCCTGATTTAGCTTTCACTATGGATAAAGCCAGGCTATCAGTTATTGGGGATCAGCTAAGGCACATGAAAGTCCTGCCCATGCTAACTGCTAGCATATGAGCAGCAGTAGCTGTGTTTGGAGAGGCACTGAATTATCTGCCTAGGCTGGGGTTGTTACCAGAGGAATTGTGTTAATCTAGGGCCAAGCAATTTGGGAAACATTGAGGGCAGGATCTGCCAACCAGACATGGAAGTGTTCTTCTGAAAACAAATGCAATACCTGTGAAGGGCACTTGGAAAAGAGCTGGTGGTAACTGTTGCCTTGGTAAAGGGAACAACAGGAAGAACATGTTGGTAGAGGGGGAGATATAGTTTTGCAGTACACGAGTGCTTGGCCAGATTTGCTTGTCCTAATGATACACCAATCCCCACCCTTTTGCCCAGTGCTTGAAGTGCTCGCCTATGTGCTCACCTACGTACCTCTCCCAGGTAGGCTGCTGCTTTGATAGCTTTGCTGTCAGCCTCACACAAATGATTATACAGACTGAAACATCCCAACACCCCCGAAGGGAGGTCACTCCAGCTCCTGGCTGCAGTGCTGTGATGGAGCAGCATGGGGGAAGCATGCACAGCTGTTGCCTCTGTCACACCCACTCCATCTCGGCATGTCGGTGTGCCCAGGCTGTTGGGTTGGTAGCTTGCATCAGCGTGCAACTCCCAGAGTTATTGTTCCAAAAATGCCAATCAGGAGGAGAAAAATCAGAGCAGGTTTAAAATATACAAAGATCAGAGAGAGTTTAAAATACACTCAGCAGCACTGAGTATATTTTGAGGAGGATTTTTCCTAATGATCTTTTTGTGTGTCAGCCTTGTATGGTATAATTCAAGGCTCTGTCAAGCAGGCCTTCAAATAGCTAGTGTAAACTAAAAGAGGATTCTTGAAAGCCTCATAGGCATAGCCATTGGACAGTGAGGGCCCCCTTAGTGCTTGATCTGCAGAGGATGCTCTTCTATTACAGCCCTGCTTATAAAGAAAGCTCAAGCTATCGCAGCTTGTGATTTTTACTTTGGATGTCTGCAGACCAACTCTTGCGGTGTTGGTCAACATAATGACCATCACAGAAGTGGGGACAGCTCCACAGGACTTCATGGCCTCCATGTTTTCAGAAGGGGAAGAGGTATGAGACCCAAAGTGGTGAGGCTGGAAGAAAGGTTTTGTTTTTTTTTTTTTGATGTACCAGAACACACAGCACCAGTAACACGCAGCGATGCCAGCGATCAGCCAGCACTAAGAGCTTCTACAGGGAACTGTGCCTGGGAGGATTAGCTGTTCTTTATTGTCTTGAGCAAGATGCAGCAGTTACAGTGCAGAAACAACTTCATTCTGGACATTTATGTCCCTGCATGTGGGGGGAAGGGTGTTTCTTTAAATATAGCAATGGCAGTGTTTGCAATTCCCATCAGCAGGACCAAAAATGGCAAATATGCTTTGTGTTTTAGGACTCAAGCCTTTTAAAGGTAAAGTTATGACTCTGGGGTTGGAAAATCACCATGCAGCATGTGGCAGCCTGCTTTATCCAGGATCTTGCTTGTTCCTTTCCAAAACCTGGTGACTTAAAATGACCCTGAGCCAGAAGAGAGAACATTTAGCTTTTCCCCAACCATGTGTGATTTTAAAACTCTGCCCTGGAATGTGACATCTCATTAAATCAACAGCAACGTTATCTTTGAACAATTGGCATTGATAATTTTGGCTTATAGAGCACTATAAATCAAGCAGGAGCAATGGACTTACCATCAGGCGACTTTGCTGGGAGCTCTCAACACAGAGAGCAAGGCCTGAATGAACCCTGGAGCTTGCCCTTCTGCAGTAGGGAAGAGCTGAGATGCATTGAGGGCAGTGAGTATAATGGGAGAGGAAGCTTGTGCTCCTGCTGTCTGTATTATATCTTTCCTGTGGCTAAATTTTGGGTCCAGCGGCTGCTAGGCCAGCATCTTTTTGGTTCACATTAACTGTACATACTGTATATTACTTCTGTTAATAGACTACCTCTCTCGTCAGTGCAGGACAAATGTGTTCATGAACTTTTTGGGAATTTGTTGAACCTGGGAGCAACCAGGTTAGAAAAATATGGTGAATTTCCCTGCTCTTGTGTGTCCTTGCTTTATAGATACATCTCAACTGCATGCCTTTGTATTGCCTAGCACATGCTTGTTCAGTGTCTGGAATACCCGGTGATGACAATGGGAGCTCTGCGCATGGAGAAAGTGCATAGTTCAGTAGAGACTGACCAAGTGGGTTGAAAAGAGAAATGTTGTCTACATTTTCAATACACCAAATGTTTCTGCAGTAATTTTGATTACTTTTGATCAAATGTTGATCTCTCTCTGTACCATCCTCCTGGGGTCAGTGGAGTCACTCAGCATGAGATCAAAATTGGTGTATTGAAACTGATGTCAGATGGAAAAAATTCAGGATTTTCCAAATGTTTTGGACCCTGTTGGTGATGTGATTGACTGAAGCAGCCAGCTCCTTGCATGGTGCCCTTGCTTGAATCCCCGACAGTGATGGTGCAGTACATGTTCAGGTGTTGTCTTGGAAGGAGTCAGTACATTAACCTCTCTCCTTCCTTTTCTGCTCTTTTTGTTTCAGGAACCAGCTGCTGCACTGGCAGGCTGTAGGAAATCCTCGGTGCAGAGGAACTTGGAAGAGAATTCGCCAGCTGGACACTTGCTCCTGTCCTTCTGTTCATAGCTTCTTGTTCATTTAACTCTTCCAAATTAGCCCAGTGCCCGAGCCGTGTGCTGGCTTCTCTGGCACAAACTTTTAAGTAATGACGGTAATCGATCTGGTGATTAATCAGTGTTGAAGACTGGGCTGAACTGCTTCAAGAAGGTTGCCACCTACAGAGGGTTAAGCTAAGGCCTCCTTCATACACTTCTGTGCTTTTGTATCCCTGAAGAAGGCAGAGAGAAACTGCAGTCTGTCTCCACACCTCCCTCCCTGCTGCCTCAGCAGTCTTTCTGTCCAGTCAGACATCTTCTCTTCTTTCAAAGCTTTCCTCCCCCAGACCTGCCAGTGATAATCCACCAAGGAATAGAATTTACAAATGACTAAAATGAGCACAGATTAAGTACCCAACAAAAGACAAAAGGAGTCTGTGCAAACTGGTTCCTCCTTTTGGTGGTAGTGCCCTTCCCTCGAGGACATTTCTCCTTTCCCTTTATTTATAGATCTTTCCCCCTTTTATTCTCATGCTGGTCCTTTTATTCTCATGCTGGTCTCTATATTGGGTTCTTAGTCTAATGTAAGGTCTCACTGAAACCTGTGACAAAGCTCCCATTGCCTTCAACAATTGGCCCAAAAGGCTTGATCCTGAATGGTGGCGGTGGTTGCTGGACCCTGATCCCATCAAGGTAATGGTAACAATCAGGATCAGGGCTGTTGAATCAGTGAGAATTGATGATCCTGCAAAGAACAGAGTCCTTAGACCTCAGGTTGCAAGGACCATGGACTGTGTTATCTTATTGGAAGTGCCTTATTCCTTGTGGTTCAGTCATCTCCTGTGCAGTAGTGAGGTACTAAAACTCTCACTGCTTTTCTCTTGCATCAGACAACTATTTGAAATAGTTTTCATTACAATCTCTTGGGTTTCTGTTTTGAAAATGGTCTATAAATTATAATAAAAGAGACTTTAGAGACATTCTAATAGCATTTTATTAATTTTCTCTCTTCAGCAGCTGGTCCTAAAGAATTCATCCTAACTGATCTTGCTGTGAGGTTGAGTGAGGGTAGATCACTCACCTAGTCTGTTTCCAAACCATTCAGTTTGAAAAAGCATCCTAAGCACCTTTCATGAATGGTGCCCAAAAGCAGATGTGCGCTTTGGCCTACACAGGCATTTTAAATCCAAAGGGCACCTGAACATTGCAACACCGAGCACCACAACATCCAGTGTTTAGGGAGCTGCCTCCTTGGAGGCCCAGCGGAGCACTAGGAAGTGGTAGGATTTATGATGCACCTTTCTGGTCATCCTTTCCCACTGGTTCTGCTCATTGTACCGCCTGTTGTGATTCCTCTTCTTAGTAGCTGACTGTCTCAGGCATGGTGTAGGGATCTTAGGGTGCCTGTGCATCAGTGCGGAGGCTGGTCTGATCCACTGATGCTGTGGTACTTTAATTAGAGCAGCCCTTGGAGCTGTTCTGATTAAATTGCTGTCTTCCCCTCTGCCCCCCAACCCCCAGAGCATGTGTAAAAGTGCTCTTAGAGCCTAGGTAAGGGGCCAATTTCTTAAACATCTTCTTGGATCTAGTCCTTTACTACCCTGTGCAATGCATAGGGAGAATTCAGTGATTAAGAACAATATTCACAACACCCAGCACACTAAGTAGAGAACTGCCTAAAGTAGCCAACAAGCAGCATTGGGGAGAGGTGTGTGGCTCATTTAATATAAAATATTTAAATAGTCATTGGAGCAAGGACTGGAAGCCAAGTCAGGCCATCCCCACCCAGGTGAGTGCCCTAACTAGTACGCAAGAGAGGGATGCTCTCTTTGGCCCAAGACATATTCAGTTATTGAAGTGGAGTGCTGTCAGCAGGAGGAACTGAGCACAACCTGCTTGGAAATGCTTGAGAGATTAGGACTTAGTGCATGGTCCTGAATGGTAACAGCTAGGGTTCAAATCCCTTCGGGCCCTGGGAGTGCTCTCCCCACAGCACTATGGGACAGGAGAGGTTGTCCGTCTTGGGTGGTCATTGCATCTATAAGAACAGCCCTCACAGGTCCTCCTAGTTTGGCCATCATCATGGGACTTGGGGAAACTGCTTGGAGCCTATCAGGACTTTTGTGGCCATGTGTAGCAGTAGAAAGGTAGGTACCTAGGAGTACGTCTATACTACTCCCTCAGTGTTTGTGGGGATGGGTGCTCTTGCCCTCTGCTCCTGTTCAAGCAGGCCAAGGCTGGAAATGCAGCAGTGAAGCTTTTCCAAGGTCATTTCTCATGGCCACTGTCAAGCATGCCCAAGACAGAGGTCTCAAGGGCAGCTGCAGCAAGGAGGTTTTTCTGAGGGCTTCACTGCTGCATTTTGAGGCCTGGTCCATATGGTTGGGTGAAATGTGCTTGAGAGCATCCCTGTCTGAGGATGCTGCAGAAGCAGCGTAGAAATTGCCAAAGGGAAGTGCAAACAATAGAATAAGCGTTGCGGGGGGAGACAGGGGAGGGACTGTGACAATTCTACTGGCACCTAAAATAATGGACTGAAATACCCAGTACCTAATTCCCATTTGGGAGTCTAGTCTTAAATGTAACTTTAAAGAAAGAGGTGTGGTAAGCTTTCTAGCTTGGCCTTGATAGCATGGCTCATTAGGACAGCTAGTGTCACCTGTATGTGCTAAGGTCCATTTTACACACCCTGGTGCCACACTATACAGCAGAGCTGTTCAGGGTGAAGGAGTGCCTATAGCCACAAAAGCCTGAGGTGCATTTGTAGCTCCCTTCCATTCTCACAGTAAATGGTAACAGATAAAGTGATCCTTGGGGCAGTTAAGTTATCCGCTATTCTTGTGTTGTGAAAGTCAGTGCTGCTCCACTCATTTCTGTGATCTCTGGCTGTCTTCACTGCTGAGCAAGGTGTGGATTTACATCATGTGAGCCAAATGAGATTTGTGTTCTCGGTGGACAACCCTAGTGGAGACAAGGCACAGGGGTTTTTCCCCCTGATGTCAACCTTATACTTTCCTCCTGTGGTTTACTTCAAGGACCTACAAGGAGGTAAAAACTGTCACTGCTCAAGTGAGCAATCTACATGCACACTTAAGTTTACAGGGAAATTGTTCACATTCATCATGCTTCTGAAACTAGTGCCGTCCCTTGTGTTCACGGCCAGCCGGCTCCCAGGACTCCTGCTTAGATTCATACAGACTGGACGAGCAAGCAAGTTTTCCCAAGCCTTCCTTAGGTACTTCCTCTGCTTAACTTCTTTGCTCAGCCGACATCATGGTAAGGCACAGAGAAGACTTGGGCTTTGAGAGGGATTTGAGAGCAGGGCTCTGCTTTTTATTGTGTATTATCTCAGGGTAGCAAGGCGGGGAAATAGCTTGTGCTTTGCTGTCTGATGCAATCTGGAACTAACTTGCCTTTGTGGTCTGCTCAGGAATGCGATCCTGAATGACTTATGAATAGATAAACCGAATGCAGTGCGTGTGCTTTTTACAGTGAGGCATTTCTATCAAGCCAGAAGCGAGTTTCTCTGTAGGGATATGAGATCATGGAAACATTTAGTCATGGGAAGACGTTATTTACACCTAGAGAGGCCCCATCCTGGACGAAGTGTGAGTCCAAAGGGAGTTCTGCCATTAACATCAGGAACAGGAAGCTAAAGCCAATAATCAGAAGCACTTTTCACTTACAAATGATCAGAGCCAATCCTATAAGAAACTACGTCTCTATTTTTACCAGGTGGTGGGAGCCCTCAGGTCTACTTGACTCTAGTGTGTGCAGAACTAGTCTTAAAGCTCATACAAATTTGGGGCTTTTAATTAACTTCCTTTTTAAAAAAAAAAAGTCTTTCAATGCTGCCCTCTGTATAATCTCCATGCCAACCAGGGGTATCAGTATATCTGTTGCAAACATTAGATCATGGTGCCATTTAGAAAACCTTAATTATAATTAATGACATGATGTGGCAGCTTAATAGCAACTTGATTCCATTTGCCAATTGCCTATACATTAACTGTACTAGGCTGGTGCATTAGTATACACATTAAACAGGTTGTCCCAGTACCCCCTGACGAGTATTTATTACTCTGATAAATGGGCTTTGTTGGCTTTGCTACATTGTTTTCAGGATCTGTGATTGCTATGTGCCACAGGTAGGAAGTAATTATATTTGGGAGATGGCAAATATTAAAAATGAGAGAGAGAGATGTGGGTGCGGCGAGTAGGAAAGGCTAATAGAAGTGTCAGGCCAACTTCCCCATCAATGAAACCTATCTTAAGATATAAATGAATACCTGCTCCTGGCTTCTGTCCCCAGGGGCTTGGTCATCCTTCACCCTTATCAGTCTCCATAATGGCTTAGGGCTTGGATTGAAGAGAAGACAAAGCTATTGGAAAGCCCGTGCTAACTACCGTTGAAAAATGGCTTCCCCCTGCAAACCAGCCAGCCAGCCTCGCATCCAGAACAGGCTGTTTATTAGAGATGACAGTCGTTTCCATGACAACCCGGCGAGCCTTTCCCCACTAGATATCAACAGGAGAACGGCTCCCACCACGAGTGGATAAAGCCACGAGTCTTAGGCCAATAACTCACAAATCAGCCCGTGGGCAGCAGCAGTCAGCACCTGTCCCTGGTTTCTCCTTTGCAGCCATGGGCTGGGCTTTCCGTACAAAGAAAAGCCAGTAAATAAAAACCACAAGTATTCAGATTCTTTATTTGTAGGTTGAATAAGTAATCCCTACCACCTAGGGAGGTTTGATAGCCCTGCCCTTCCCTCATATTTCCCCTTTTCCTCTGCTTTTCCTTGTTCCCGTCTCCACGTTTCGGAGGGCTGTGGGGTGTGGGCGAGGGGCACATGCTCAGTTTGAAACATGCGTTTGAACCTCCCTGCAGAAAACTTCAACTTTTCATCCAAAAATGGAAAGCTGAAAGTGTTCCCATTTTGAACAACTGAAACCTGACAATTTAAGGCCAGCGCTAGTCTTTAAAAATTCTTCTTGTTGTTGTTGTTATTTTTAAAACTAAAAATAAAGGCTCCCGACTTTTTTCCTTTGAGTATCAATTTTTGGATCTTTAATTGTTGGATTTAGTTTTCCCTCCTGCATCCAGTCCCGTCAGTTTGGTGACGAACCCTGTGACGGTTGCTCTTGTGAATCTTCTGAGCTCTCCGAGTGAGCCAGCGTTGGAAATGTTAAAGCACCGCACACAGTTCTGAGTAGTGTTGTTAAGCTCTTCGATCCCTGCTGTGTAATGACTTGCTGTGGAATTGCAAACAAAGGATTATAACTTAAGGTAAAAAATGAGCATCCAGAACAGAGGAGATTCCTAGCCAGCAAAGATGATCTTGCCTGTAAATATACAGCTCTTACAATTTAAAGGGGAAAAAAAAATCACAAGGGAAAATTAACTCCTTCACCTTCACTTACACAGAGATTTTGTTCTAAATGGAATTCAGAGTTTTCTTTAAATCCATGAAAAACCATGATATGCAGTGGCTTCAAGTTGCTAATCCAAGTGGGTAAGGATAACTTTTGTCCGGCTGTATCTGCACACGTCTCTCAGTGACATCAGTGGGAGCCATCTGCATATTTAGGGAAGGATTTGCATAGCTGCTTGTCACAAGTATTTCCTATGTTCAATATATACAGGAGACTCAGGAAATTGGAAGCGTGATGCTTCCTATATCTATGCATATTGTTACTAGTCCCAGTATTATGCAACTGCTCTCTGAAATACAGCCTCGGTATTTGACTGATGAGTTCCTGAAGCAGTGAATTCCACAGGTCAGTTATGGCTTAGCTGAAGTAGTACGGATTAGATATTGTAACTTTACCATTCTTTATGCCGTTGAATGTGCACTTTAGTCTACAGACTCGAAAAGCTATTTCCACAATGTGGACTTCCTCCTGCGGAGGTCAAAATCACTCTTCCCATGCACTGGGCTTTGCTGTTAGTTTATGTACCGAATACTTGTTTACTTGAGTTTTTTGTGGCCTTTCATACCATAATGGTGTGTTATTGAATTACTGGAAGGAGGGTGCGGGAGGATGCCAAAGCTAATGGACTCTTGTTTTCTCTGCTTTTAAGCCAATCTCCATTTATTCCTTGACTCCGTGCTTTCACCATTAACCCAAGGCAGAACTTATGCTGGGCCCAGCTTTGTTTGTCATTGCTGTTTCTGTCTCAGGGTAGTGAGAGAATTAGGCTTAACTAAAAATGAAAGCCGAGGTCTCGGTGTTAAGGTAGTTGAGGAGCTCTAGTGACATCTCTGTGATGTGCGCAATATTCACTGTGTTTTATTGACTCATCTGCAAGCTTGAGACCAAGATATAGGTGAGCAGATCTCACATTTCAAAACATAAGACTCAGTAAGAGTCGAGAAGGATTTTTTTCCCCCCTCTGTGTAAAAGTAGCATTAGGCAATTAACTGTGTGCGCAATATGGATTTTTTTTAAAGCTTCCTCTGCAGTAGAATTTGCAATCCATTTCTGGAGACAGGATCCTGGATGAATCTGATCTAGTGAGGCATTTCCTATGCTGCTTTAAATAACTTGCCGTTCCATAGGATGGGGGGCTCTCAATCTTTTTAGACTCAAGGCACCCCTCACAAAATGCGATCTCTTAGCTTTCACTTGGTTGTCGACTACAGAAAAATAACAGCAATTCTTTTGTTGCAAAGACTCACAACAGGTGGGAATGTTTTTAACATTGTGGATTCCTATTTGAAATCTCTGGGTTTGTTTTGTGAAGCATGTTTGTACACCTAACAATCCTAGCTGTATCATCCTGGTCGAAAATCACTTGCTTTAAAGACAACAGCCTTGAGAGTGTAGTGCATTTTGTATCTCTCAGGATAGAAAAAGAAAACTCTGTGAAGCACAGCAGTAGGAGTGCCATTTCAGGCTGGATTTTAATGAGAGTAGTTTTACAGATGATGGTGAAGCACAATTGATGACTGCTAAGGAGGGCAGGCTTACCAGATATGTCACCTCGGCAGCTGACTAAAATGAGCACATCCATCAGGGGGACTCCTGGAAGCAGAAACCTGCCAGCCAGGATAGGAAAGACCTCGACACAATGCACTTACTAAATCTTATAGGACTGTGGTTTTACCCTACTGCATCTTGGTTCGGGATGTTTCTGATTAAGGGCGGGTTCCACAAGGTAAAAGCCACATGATTTTGTGTGTTTAAGCTCTTCGGTGCTCTGTGTACTAACGTCATCTTCCCAATTTTGAAACAGTCATTCATACAGAAGAGCTTAAATATTTCCAAGAGCTGCACTACTATTTATTGTGCTGGGTAAATTGGAAAGTCTTGACTGTGCACTGCACTCCCCAGCCTGAAAGGGAATCAAACAAGGTGAGAGCGCACACACACACATGGGACACAAGGCATCTAACAGGATGATGATACTGTTACTGCAGTGAGGATTAAACTGGTATAAACCTCCCAACCCCCTCCTTTCCTTGCCTTAGTTAAATCAAACGCCAAGGAGCTGTGCTGTAAGCCCAGCAAAGGGAAGGCCGTAGGTGAGAGTGGGACAGGAGAGGCAGGACTGGGGACTGAGTTCTGTCTAGTGTGGAGGCTACCAGAATAAGCTGCAGACTCTAGAAGGGGACACCCTTCAAAGTCCTGGCCCCAGAAATGTCCCTTTGTAGCCAGAGGGCTGCCAATAGCAAGAGGCTCTGAAATGCATGTTGAAATATTTCAGATGCTTGATATCTCTTTATGGCTTAGGCATTTTACCTGTGCTCTTGTCTCAGTAAGGTATGTATTTTAATAAGACCCTGATCCTACAAACACTTATAAATAGAATTATAGAAATTAAGGCCAGGAAGGGACCTCGAAAGATCATCGAGTCCAACCCCTCCTGATCTCGGCAGGAATACTGCTGAGATCAAATGATCCCAGCAAGGTGTCTGTCCGGTCTCCTCTTGAAGACTTCCAAGGTTGGAGACTGCACCACCTCCTTGGGAAGTCCACTCCAGATTCCTCCTTACATTCAACCTGAAACTGTCCTCTAACCATGTATGGCCATTTCTCCTTGTCCTCCCCTGGGGCGCCCTAGTGAACAGTTTTTCTCCCAGTTCCCAATATTCACCCCTTACATACTTAAAGATGGCCACAAAGCCCCGCTCCCCATCTTCTCTTCTCCAGGCTGAACAGTCCCAGATCCCTTAGTCTTTCCTCATAAGGTTTGTCCTCCAGGCCCGTAATCAGGGGTGGATTAAAATTCACTGGGGCCCTGGGCCCATTTTCCCCCTACTCCCCGTTGTCTGGGGTCCCCCCCAATCCGCGCCCTGCCCCGCAGGCATGGCCTCTGTCCCCGGGTGGCACAATAGGAGCAGTGGCCAGAACGGGACACACTGTCCCCTAGGCCCAGGGCAGGAGCCACGGCTGCCCCCACCTGCATGTCTGTGCTGGTGACAGCACCGGGGGTGCGGAGCCACTGCCCATTGGGAGCATGTGGCGTGGATCTAGCTCTGGGGGCAGCCCCTTACCCTGCCGTGGCTCAGTCTGGCTGTAGTGGTGCCCAGCAAATGGCATCCGGCAGCTATGGCCCACCATATTGCACACGCTCAGCCCAGCTGCCAGTTTCTCGTGTGCCAAGGCAGAGGCCCCTGGGCCCAGGCCCAGCTGGCCCGTGCATTAATCGCTTATGCCCTTAATCATTCTTCTGGCCCTTCCCTGGACCCTTTCAAGATTCTCCATGTCTTTTTTGGAGTGTGTTGCCCAGAACTGGACACAGTACTCCAGCTGTGGTCTCACTTCCTTAGCCCTGCTCGTAACACATTGACTAATGCCACCCAGTATGCTATTAGCTCTGTTGACTACAGCATTGCACTGGTGGCTGTAGTCAACTATACTGGCTTTTCTCACAGGATTGAATCTGGTTGACTTCAGTGGCACCACTCACATTAGGAAAGTTCAACCAGTTAGGCACGTGTCTACAAGACTGGAGACCCTACTCCTCAATCACGTGCTATGTCTTTTATTTTCCAGTCAGCACCATAGTTGGTGCTCTGGGGGACTGAGACACATAATCAGCAAATTTGTTAGCCTTCACACAGACACAGCTTGACTTCCTTAGATACAACTCAGAAGAGGAGACCGTTAACACCGAGTTCATTTAACTACAAATTTAGGTGGTCTGTATTTGCCAGCAATTGTTCACTATTTATATCACACTTAATCTGTAGCGTGCTGTGCAGAGTTTACAGTGTACTTTTCATAGGTATGATGCTAACTGTCTGCTTTCAAGAGAGCACCAGCATGCAGCTGCACAGAAAACAAATGGTCTGATGTAGTTAGACAAGGTTCTTTGAGTAGATGTGATATCTTTTATTAGACCAACTAAATAGCTGGAAAAATTGGTCTTTGCAAGCTTTCAGGCACAAGCACGCTTCTTCAGGCATAAGGAGAGTGCTGTTGTATTGTGTTCTCCTGGATGCAGTATACTTTTGAGAAATTGCATGTGATCAGGTAATTAAAGATCTCTTATTTGGTGATAACAGCTAAAGTAGAATTTATTAGAGCGAGAATCCAGAGTGCCAGTGAAAGACTTACCTTTAGCAAATGCGGGAGGACGGGCTAGGCTGGGGAGGTGGAGACTTGGGTTTGTTGTTGGCTCTGTCACTGTCTTGCTCAAACTGTGCAAGTCCATTGTGCTTAGGACCTCCTTACTAGAGCTGGGTGAATAAATGATTTGTTGGCAGTTCCAAGAAATTCAAAGATATTTCATTTCTGGGTGTCAGAACATTCTGCTTGACTCAGACTGTGCTGTCTCAGTTTGTTTTCAAGGCTTTTTAGTGTTTTGAAATGAAGTGGAGCTAAATTTAGAAAATAATTGTCATTTTGAATGTTAAAAAATCAAACTGTTTCTTTTAAAAATGTGGAGACAACATGTTCTGAGGGGTTTTCTTTCTTGTTTCCAGAATTTACTTCAGGCTTTTTTTCTTGACTGAAACCATTTGATGAAATCAACACAATGAATTATTTAAATTGACTCAAATCTGCAATTTGAGGGAGAGGCAAAAAAA